TTGAATTCTTATTTAATAAGTCTAGTGTTTGTGATTCTCTTGAATAAAGAGAGAGATATACTTGAAGTAATCCTTGAATTCAATGTTTTTGTTTATTTTGAGATTTTATAAATAGAAAACTTATATCAATAATCTGAATATATTTTGATAATGAAATAAAAAAGTAAAAAAGGAAAAGGAACTGTTTAGGCTACACTATCTCAGTTTTGGATATACTAGTATTTGCAAAGAGAAATTCTCTTTAAGACAAGGTAATTGAAAATAATGAATTTTGATTTATAAATAATGATTTTTAAAGTGATATTGAATATTATATAATTAATAAGCTCTTTAATATCAAGCTAGAATGGATAGTTCTTTTAGTAGTAATTTGTAGTTTTTCTTACTTAGGGAAAAAGTACAATATAAGTAATTACTTTGTTATTATACTTAAGGGAAAAGATATAATATAAATAATTACTTTGTTATTACTATTCAACAATCTGTTTGCTGTGCGTACCTTGTATATTGACATTGCATTGTATAGGAGTTTCTTGTTATCAACCTTTACTTTAACAATGTAAGCTATTCAAAGAGCTTTCGGTCTTAGTCTTATTGCAGAGCTACCGGGCTTATAATCTATTCACAATGAAGGAGCAGGCTAGTGGAATGCATGTAATATTGACTATGTAGATTAGTAGTATTAAGGTAAAATCTAACTATAAAGTGGAAGTGATATATACACAGTAGCATAGCGCACATGCCACAACTTCCAATATAATGATTATTATATTTATTAAATTATAGATATGAATAATCAAAAAACTATTAAAGAAATGGGGGGGATAATAGGAAAATTTCTGAAACAAAGAAAATCTTTATTAAATCAGATGGGTTTTTATAGTTCCTCTATAAACTATATCCAAAGTATTCTTAACTTTAAGGTTTTTTATAGGTAATCCTTAATTATATAAAGTTTAATCGATTTGTAAGGTATTATTAGTTGTTTATATTGTATCATTACCATCAATATAGAGCTTACAAAAATTAAAATGAAGAAAAGAATTAAAAGATAGAAAATCGAGGGAATTGTATTATAATTAGGATTCTCGAATTATCGAAAGAAGATAAGAGTAGGTAGCAATCGTCTATCAGAGCTTTATCACCCTTTTCAACCCTGTAGGTTGGATTATTGTAGTACTATGTATCTGAGTATTTTGTATAATCTCTATTGTGATAGCGCTGTGCGCTTTATGATATTTTACAGGATACCGGAATTTTACAACGGTACCAAAGCCAGATTCATTCGCCAAGCAAAGCTACACTCCCTCAATCACTCAATCGTATTGGACTAGATACCACCTAGATATCTTTTAGATTTGATTATATTTACAAAAGCAATAGTCTCCGGATTTGACAAAGTCACTACTATCTATTATAATATTAATAAGACATTGATTCTCAATTATATTCCAATTAATCACTAGCTATATTATAACAAATCATATTAAAGGAATCTTATAATATCATGATATTGTCAATGTACAGTCGTGAGCAATCTATTATACCGCCGAGCGTATCGGGTTGTAATCCAATCACTTTAATAATAATAACAATGATTATATTGATAATTGAAATAAGTGGAGATAACAATATACAATCTATTTATAAAGCAATAATCGATCAATTCTATAAGAAGAACAAAAAGCAATAAGTAATCCTAAAGATTACGAGTATGATTGATATATGTATTAAAACTTTAAGCAAAACGGAATTAAGTTATATTGATATGCTAAGGTTTATATATATTGATAGTATAATTAAGACTATAAGATAAGCCGGGTCTACACAGAGAATCCCTATACTAATCACTAAAGTAATCCTAAAGGGAATTACTAAATCCTATATTAATATACTCAAGACTAGAGAGATACTTTAGGTATCAAAGGGTATTAAGGTAAGTATATCCAAAACGATAGAAATAATATAGAAATGCGAACAATAGGAGCAAAATAGCTATATAATTTTTATAAAGATAGGAAATAAGCAATAGATAATTATTAATAATCTTTTCGAATTATGACTAAAGATTATAAAAGTAGTTTCTGAATTAAAGCTTGAATTAATTCTTTTACTTTATTATAATAGAATAGAGTAAACCTTAAGATACAAAATATTAAAGGAATACAAGAATCTCTTATAAAACAAAAATCATATATAATTGATTATTATATTTAATGCGAATAATGCTTAAGCTATAAAGATCTAATACAATTATATTATGCTTTAGGTTCTTTATAATATGCTAGGTATATTTATAATATTTTTAGATATAATTATTTGAAAAGAAATTAAGATATAAATAAAAGAGGAATCAATATAATACAGAGTCTTTAAATACAGAGTGAATTCTTTTATAGGGAGAATTAATTGAATTATTAGTTTTAAAAAGATAATAAAACTATTCCAGCTATTTAATATTAATGAATACTCAAAGTCTTTTAATAGATTATAATACTTTCAATTATAATAGTATTCCAACAAATGCTAGCTATATTATAACCTATATGTATATTATCGCCCAGCTTGCTATTTTAGATATAGTGAATTGACTACTAAACACACTAATAGAAAGATCTATAAACAATACCAAAACAATGCTTAATGTGCGGAATACCTAGAATCTTTCCGATTTATATACAGCAATTGTCCAGCAGTATTATAATTAGTTAATAGAAAACTGATTAGACTCACTTACCGACAAGTGAGAGAAGTCAGGATTACTGATTGAAGAGAGATTCAGGAAATACATAAGGGAAAGGTACTTATTCCAATATTAGTTAAACAGTTTCAAATAATCATTCTCAAACTCTCTATACCAAAAGCCTATATCATTGCTTACAAGAATGAATAGCAATTGATAAACTAATTACTCAAATAAACCTAATTAGAAAAAAGGCTTTTTAATAATTCGATTTATATCCCAAGCTGTAACTCTCTGTATTGTATTAATAAAGAGGTAAACTATAATATAATAGCTATAACTGAAAAAGCCTTTTTACCTCCTGATTCTGAAATAAGCGAAAAGAGTAAGTCAAATATTGACAAAGCTGTTACTACTCTTATATAAGTTATATAACTAATATGAATTTAATAGAGAGAAGGGGGCTTATGATTGTATAGGCGAATATAGAATACAAACATTCCAATCATATTACCCTCTTACAAATCGCTGAAGAAACTGATATGGATATCATCTGTATCCAAAAACCCTGATTATACAATAACTTGGCAATCCAAAATCATACCGCATATAACCAATACCAGTCAATCAATATCTAGAGAATAACTGATAACCCTAAGTATAGGCCACAAGTGATCATCTACATACAAAAAGGAGGCAACTTAAAGGTCAGATAAATAAAGCAAATCAAAAGCAGGGATTTACTTTAGATTAATATTAACAAATACTCAATTCTTAATACTTACCATATCCTATTTGATTTGCTAATAATAAAATATATACTTAGTATCGTAGGTCATGAGCTAGTATATGAGTATATAGTATATAAGAGGGAATAGACTAATATTAGTCTATTATGGGAAGCTGGCTCGTATTAACAACTAAATAGCTATGAAACACGTGATTTTCATGAAACAGTATATAATATTCTTATTTTCTTTTTCTATATTCGAGGGGAAAAGGCCTTATTTTATGCTTTTTCCTACTAATCTAGCTTTCCACTTTCGTTTATTTCTCGTAGATCTCTTCCTAATCCGGCCATTCCATCAAATAAAGCTTTTCTTTCTTATTCCTTATTCGATTTCGCTAGTACCATGTCGATCTTACTACGAATGGATTGAAAGAACTAATAAAGAGCTAATAAAGAATTGATTTTCAGGCCGTTCTAGGCTAAGAGCTCTCTTAAGCGACGATCATGTGATTTGATCATGTGATCTTGTGATTCGCTCTTAGTATACTATATGAATATAGAACTATATATATATATATATAAAAAGATATATTATTATATTATTTTTTATATAAAAACAATAAAAATAAATGGGTTGAATATGATAATAATACTTGTAACTCTATATGTTAGGGGTTTGTTATTTTTCATCAAATAGATTTACTCGAAATCAGCCCTCTTCCTATAAATGATATCGAATATCCTCGATATACCCAAGAAGGTATTATAATTATAAGATATTATTTGATTGATCACCAGATGGCTATGCAATCGTATAGTAAGTTGTAAATAATATAACACTTTGTTTTAAAAGAATTACAAGAACAGAATACAATTTATTCTTAGAATCTATAATTACAGAATCGGGAACAAAGCATTCGTAAAGCGTTTCTATATACTAGCTATGTACACATGATCATGTACATGCGCAAGCGCGCACATAAGCGATCGCAGTTGTGATTGGATGCGATCCGTGACATAGCTCAATTCCGTTTTGTTTAGGGTTTTAATGCATATATCGATTGTATTTGTAATTTTTAGAATTACTTATCACTTTTTGTTCTTCTTATAGAATTGATTGGTTATTGCTTTGTAGATAGATTGTATATCGTTATTTCTATTTGCTTCAATTATCGATATGATTGTTGTTATTATTGTTGAAGCGATTGGGTCGCGACCCGACGCGCTCGGCGGTGCGACAGGTTGTTCACGACCGCACATTGACGGTATCATGGTATTGTATTCAAATTGAATAAACTCTTTAGAATAATTAATATCTCAATTGTAAATGTTCATATTCTAATGAAGACCTTTCTTATATTAGAGTATCTTTTAATAATTATGAATTTATTAAAGTAATCTTAGATTAGTTAGTTGGGTGTTATCAATTGTTATTATTGTATTGTGTTGTATATATTGTAGTTGGACATTCGAATGTTGTAGATGATTTAGATGATTTAGATGATTTAGATGATTTAGATGATTTAGATGATTTAGATGATTTAAAAGATTTAGATGATTTAGTTTGTAGTCAATAATCACAATATAAAGACATTCACGCCTGTCATTTGTATAATGAACTAGTAGTCAAACTATACATATACACATCAACAAGACTGTTGAAGAAAATTCATTTTTATGAAGTCCATTCGCTCGTTATATGCATACAATCTCATATCTATCACCCAACAAAACTTTGATACAAGTTAAAGCAAGAAATGCAAACCACCATACCGCTTCCCCCAAAACAATCGCCTATTATGCTCTCTTTTACTCATCGGTAACCGAAGCGAATTTATCAGTCATAGCCTGAACAAGATCCTCGTACTGTAAAGATGTTAGATAAATATACTCTCAGATAAATGAATACTATGGATGAACATACCTTCTTTGTGATCTTCTCCTCGCCTTCACTTGGAACCTCGAATTTCATATTTCTCAATTGGGATTGAAGCTCTCCGGTAGCTTCACGTACTTTAGCCCAACTTTGACCTTGTGCGACTGCTTTTTGAGCCTCATCGTGGAATCCCATCATTGCCTTCATCATCCATTCAGTCTTCCAGATAGGACAGAATTGATCATAGTCACTGTAACCATTTTGTTGCAAGAAATCTTCCTTGATCAATGCAGCTACATCCAGGGTAATCTTGTCAGGGTCAGATAATGCTGACTTTCCAACCAGTTGAACGACTTGATCCAATTCTTCAGAATCAGTTAAAAGTTGCTTGATACGGTCTCGAAGTCTGGGAAATTCGGGAAAATCCTTCTCGTAGTATTTGTCGAGAACAGTAGTATATTTACTGTAACTGACTGCAGTATTGATAGAAGGGAAATGTTTACGTTGAGCAAGTTTCTTGTCGAGACCCCAGAAAACTTGCACAATACCCAAAGTACTACTTGTCACAGGATCGGAGAAATCACCACCAGGGGGACTGACGGCACCGACAATACTAACACTACCTTCACGATCAGGTCCACCAAGAGCTTGAACTTTACCAGCACGTTCGTAGAAACTAGCAAGTTTAGCTCCAAGATAAGCGGGGAAACCTTGATCAGCAGGCATCTCTCCCAAACGACCAGAAATTTCACGAAGAGCCTCAGCCCAACGAGATGTAGAATCTGCCATCATGGCAACATCCTTTCCCATATCGCGAAAGTATTCGCTGATTGTTATTCCTACAAAATCGAGATATAATTAGTAAATGAATGTTGTTAATGAGTCGGTGAGATGTAATGATGTCCAGTAGATAAGCCAGTAGAGTGTTGTCCTATAGATGGAGCCAGTATATCGATTTGTCGATAAAGCCAGTAAATGAGTCAATGGAAAGGCCAGTCGATTGTTGTCGAAAGAGATAGATCGAAGATAGTTGCTCCAGATGTGAGGTGATGAAAGAAAGATCAGGACCAGGTGGCTGCTGATTCCAATGACTCACCGACTTACCGACTGATCAAGGGAAGGTGCTGGTGTAGGTGCAGGTGTAGTGTTGGAAAGAGGGAAAGAACATCTTTGGGGGGACTTGCCAGTGTAAATAGAAGCCTCACGAGCTGCGACAGGCATGTTAGAGGTGTTAGCAATAAGTGTTGTACGCTTCATGATAGGTTCTTTGCGTCCATCAATTTCAATGGAAAGTTCTGGGAAATCCATCAAGACTTCAGCCATCTCATTTCCACGCTCTCCACTATATATGATATTAGTATCATGTCGCCGTGATTTTGAAAAGACGAAACCTTACCATCCAACATATACAATGATATCACTGTTCGAGAACTTAGAAACCGATTGACTAATAACAGTCTTACCACAACCGAAAGCACCTGGAATGGCAACAGTTCCTCCTTGAACACTAGGGAAAAGGGCATCCAAGACACGTTGTCCAACGATAAATGGCTTATCTGCTGCCAATTTCTCGGTAGTTGGTCGTGGTACACGTACAGGCCATGTGTGCATCATGCTATATTCGGTCTTCTTGCCATCAAATTCAACCTCGAGGATCTTTTGGTCGACCTTGTAGCTTCCCTTTTCAGCAATGCGAGTAATTGTACCCCTGGCTCTGGGTGGGAAAAGAATCTTGTGATCATCCAGGAGGGAGTTCTCGTAGACGGTACCCCAAATGTCGCCTCCAGTAATGTGATCTCCAACCTTCATAATCGGCTTAAAGTCCCAGTCCTTTTCTCTGTTTAAAGCTGGAGCGGAAATACCACGGGGAATGTAGATACTATTGGAGCTGTCTGCGATAGCTTTGAGAGGTCTTTGAATACCGTCGTAAATTGTTTCCATAAGACCTGGGCCCAACTCGACGGACAAAGGCTTTCCAGTACGCACAACGGGATCTCCAACAGTGACACCAGCTTTATACCCAACAGTCAGTTATAATTCCAACCCAAAGCCACATGTTTTCCCATACCTGTTTCCTCGTATACTTGAATAGTCGCTCTATCCGCTTCGATTCGAATAACTTCACCGACGAGATTATCGTGACCGACTCTAACCTATTCATGAGTTAGCAACGCAATAGTTGGTTAAATTGGCAAATCAAACCTACCAACTCGTACATGGCAACTCCGATCATATTCTCTGCCACTACGACCGGACTAAAGATAATTAGCTGGAGGAAGACATATTGATGAAGTCTTTCACAAACCCTGAGACGGAGTAAATTGAACCTGTCGACAGGCGATTAGCAATTATGTTGGTAGGATAGGGAAAACAGGACAGGACCAACCAAATTGTTCCTCTCCATCTGCATCTCGTTGAGGAGCCATGTTGGCGATTTCTTTGCTTGTATTAGGAACTACGAATTGGATTGTTGTTGGAGGGGGTGATAGAGGAAGTTGTGGTAATGGCTCTTGATTAAGCTCGACTGGAGCTATTGACAAGGTATCAATATGTTGGATTTTGATGAGATCTAAGAATGAGGGCCGAGCTTTCAAACGAGGACGAAGACCAAGTGACATAAAAGGATCAAGGATGGAGACGAATGGGAATTTATTTAATTATTAACCAACCAACTCCAGATTGAAAATTGGGTGGGAGTGGAATATGTACGATGTGTGTATTATGTACGAGTACATGACATGTAAACAGGATCAATGGTACCGGTGCGTCGAGAGAGATCAATTATAGAACAAGTGGATATGGATATCAGTCGGTCAACGGAAGGAGCCTTGGAGTACGTACAAACAAGCCTTGTTATTACTACAGATACGATGTGAAGGTCTGGGTGCACTTTATCTTGAGTCTATCTAGGTAGTTGGTAGGTAGGTAGTATCCAAGTAATAGGTTGGTGGGTATATCTCGTAGATATGTACCTGACTGAGCTTACAACATATGTATTTACTAAACACCGCTCGTACTGCTCTAGAGACACGCCTTCATTCCTGTCCCAAGTTTCCCCCACCATTGATGATCTTGAATGATACACGCTTTCAATTGGTACGGACAGCGGCGAGGGCGGATAATGGCGAGAGTGGTTAGTAAATGGTGGAAGGGATGATATAAGGGTGGGTTCATTTATCATAATTTTAGGTCTCTGTAGTAATAATGGATGTATGCGGTACCGTACCGTACCTGAATAAGTAGCTACTTGTTGGGACCTAGGTAGGTAGATAGATGTACCTACCTACATAGATTATCGTCGCCTTCTCTTCTCAAGAATACCCAGTACCTATGTAGGTGCTCAACGGAGCTATATATATCTTCGTGAATTCATTTCATTCATTCCATCTTCCTGTTCCTCTTCTTCTCTGCCCCCTCTCTCAAACCACAGCACCGTCCATTTGATGAGGTCACATATCCCTTCTTACATGCACTTCCTTCTCAACCTAGTATCATAATGTGAATCATCACCAGTCAATCCATCTGCAGATGTGTAGTCTCAAAGCGGCTCGGTGGTAGATTAAGTTTATATGTAGCGCATGTTCTTGAAAAGTCTATCTTCCAGTCCTCCCAGGTTGATAAGAATCCTGATAGGGTAGGGTGACTGACTGCTGCTGACTGGAAAGGGCCAATGGTTCACCGTATTCCTAATCCAAGCACATACATACCTACCCACCTTCCTAGGTATCATACATTGTGATCCATACCTCATGTGCTGGAACCCCAAATACCTGTCCGACATCCTTCCATTACGGACTTACAGTTACAATGAGAAATACCCCCCTACATACATGAAGAGAGAGCTCGATTGACTTTTTTAAATCACTTTTCGTCTTTAATAAATCATCACGAACTCTATACGTACTGCAACGAATAAGTATGTGAATAACATTGATAAGATCCTTTGTGATTCATTCATCCATTCCATCTCTCTCCATCAACATTCGAATTCACTCCACAAGTTCTGTTCGAACCCACCTCTTTGACGGATTCTAATCATTCACTCTATTAGCTGCTTCTACTTCGCTCGAGCTTCGGTTCGTCTTACAGATGCAAAGGCAAGCATTTAACCACGACAACCCCAGACTTTCTATACTTGTTTACTTCAACTTTTGCCTGCATTACAACAACTTGCATCACAACAACTTGCATCTTGGTGCCTCAATTTAACAACCCCCATAAGATTCTTGAGGCCCCTCTCTGAATCTACATTCAAGCAGCGGCACTTCCGCAGATTTCGTCCTGGCAGACGACAGCCCCCATATACCACCATTATCCTTATCCATCCCCGACGACCCACCCATCCCGACTTCCCCTCAACGATCAACCAGCACTATCTTCTCAGCCCAAGCCCCTCTACCGCCATCACATCACAGATCAGATCAAATCGACCCCCCGCCTTCTCTCGAGAGACATAGCATAGATTCTACAACTAGGCAAACTGCTAGAACTCGTGGTATACCTCAAGCTGAGCTCCGGCCGAGACGTGCTCAAGATCAAGTCCTCGGTCGTAGACGTCGAGATCATACTATTGACCGAGGGGAACAATCAAACACTTTTTCGAGTCCTGGAGACTCTTCGAATCCTTCAAGCCTACAAAGCGAACACCGCAACAAAAGAAGACGTCAAAGTGCTAGTATGAGATCTGAAGTGGAGGATAGTACCACGAACGGTAGCTCTAAACCATTCTCAAATGGATCGGAGACATCTCGTTTACACAAGGCAGCCCTCTCAAACTCTGCCAATGGTGCACATTCTTCCTCGGTAGCCATGAATGGATCAAGCACCAATGGACACTCAGATGCAGGTGTCAAAACAACATCTTCATATTTTGGACATAATAGAGAGGAAGTCACTAGGATCTTGGTCCAAGCTTTGACTGACTTGGGTTACAATGGTGCTGCAGCGAGACTAAGTCAGGAAAGTGGTTATGATCTTGAAAGTCCGATTGTAGCAGCTTTCCGAAATGCAGTTTTACAGGGCGAGTGGACCGAAGCGGAAGAACTGCTTTTTGGGGGATCTACAGAGGGAGGCGGAGTTAATATTCATGGGAATGGATTGGTTCTCCGAGATGGTGTGGATAAGAACATTATGAGGTTTTGGATGCGGCAACAAAAGTTCTTGGAATTACTTGAACGAAAAGACATGGGCAGAGCAATAAACGTTTTGCGATCCGAGCTTACTCCACTATATCAAGATACCGCCAAGTTGCATTTCTATCAAGGTATGCTTTTGTTGATATATTTCTACAATCTTTATCTCGACCAAGCACTGATCACCTGTACTAGCTTACTGATGTGTACACCTGCGGACCTTAAGGTCAAGGCTAATTGGGATGGGGCCGCTGGACAATCCAGACATTTACTCCTCTCACAACTATCTAGTAAGATTTTTGTTAATGACATCGGTTACTAGGTGATACTAACACTCTCCTAGGATGCATTTCACCATCAGCCATGTTACCTGAGAATCGCTTAGCCACACTTTTTGACCAAGTAAAACAACATCAGATATCTACATGCATTTATCACAACACACACGAATCACCTTCGCTGTACCAAGATCACACATGCGACCGAAGTAACGTTCCATTGCGGCCCATCATGGAACTTACTAAACATGCTGGTGAAGTATGGGATACAAAATTCTCACACGATGGAACTCTATTGGCAAGCTGTGGCAGCGATGGTGTTCTTGTTATTTATAATGTTCCGGCTTTCAGTGTCCATACTTCCTTTTCTGAACATGAAGGTGGAGTCTGTTCTTTTGCTTGGAGTCCTGATGACACGAGAATGGTCACATGTGGGCGTGATAACAGAGCTTTGTTGTGGAATACTGCAGTAAGTTAAAAGTCCATATTCAAGATCCCCTCGCTGATTTCTTAGACTGGCGATTTGTTAATGAAGCTCCCTCGTTTTGGGGAGCCTGTTTCCTGTTGTGTATGGACATCGGATGGACAATCCTTTATCACAGGCAGCTTGGCTACTACAAAGAATTTATGCCAGTGGAATCTCAATGGTGAGCGCGTATATGATTGGAGCCGAGATCATCGTATTCGAGATATAGCACTCACACCAGACGGGAGCCGACTAGTGGCCATCGAACACTTGACCCATCTCTATGTTTATAATTTCATAACTCACGAGCTTGAATATGAGCTGGACCTCAAAGTTCAGCTATGCTCGATCAACGTCAGCGATAATTCAAGGCACCTGCTGATACATTGTAACACTGGAGAAACACGCATGTTGGATATAGATACCGGCGAAACAATTCGAACCTTCGTATCTGGGGGATAAGGGGGTGAATTCATTATCAGAAGCTCTTTCGGTGGTGCCAATGAAAGTTTTGTGGTTAGCGGAAGTGAAGGTAAGATTCGGATTTTGGATTGTACGCCTGCATTACTAATACATTCACCTATAGAAGGCAATGTTGTGATATACCACCGAGAGAACGGTTCAGTGGTAGAAAAGCTAGAAGCTCACAAGAAAGGTTGCTGCAATGCAGTTTCTTGGAATCCAATGAATCCAAGAATGTTCGCTTCCGCTGGTGATGACGGCAAAGTTCGAATTAAGTTTTATACCATCCGATCAAGGCATGAATCGAGCTAACAAATCTACCAGATGGTCGAGCGAGAATAGTCTTCAAGGAGTCTCTAAACAGAGTGTATTCAATGGCTCGCAGCGTGAATCTAATGGCTGGTGATTGGAAATTTCACGCCAGTGCACGGGCCTCTCGTAATGCTTTATGAGAAATGATGCTACAATTTCTCCTTTTCATTGTTTTTGCATCTTTCATCAACTTTATTTTTATTTATTCACGTTACATACAGCTCTCGGGGTGGCGATTGGGTGGAATGCAGGAAGGATTGCATATGGGTAGGCATCAATGGTGTTTGGGATATAACATACGGTAACGGCGATGGAGTTTTAGTCAGTGTGCGTTTTTGTAAATTGGTTTTCAATGCTTTCGACCTTTACGTATACGCTGATGGATCGATGGCGAGTACATTAAGTCAGAGCTATTCAGTGAGATGTGGTTGGATGGAACGGCGAGGCAAGGCAAGGCAAATAAATGCATGGCATGAAATGATAGATATATCTAAGACATTGATCGCGAACCGACTAGATGTATCATTGAAGTCTTGAATGTTGATATGTCGAATTCTCTGCTAGTGTATATTTGACAATCCTCTTCTATGGAGGAAAAGAATGTCTAAATTTCTTTAGATCTATGAATTCGGGTACCTAGGTATTAAGTAGTAAAGACTAATCCCTCTTAACATCAATCTCATCAGCCCAAGGAATCGCACTCTGAGCACCTTCTTTCTCGACTGTGCGAGCGGCTGCTTTACAAGCTTTTTGAACGGCGGAGAGCAGGATTTTATCGTGATCGGCGGATTGGGTGTTTGAAGAAGTATGGCGCACGAGATCGACGGCGTAGGCTCCGACGAATGTGTCGCCTGCGGCGGTGGTGTCGACTACTTTTATGTTGGATTCGGCGGGGATATGGGTGTAGGTCTTGGAGGTCGCGAGGATGGCTCCTAGATGGGAGGAGGCGGGGGTTAGTTTTGGGGTTTGGGTCAGGGTGGGAATGAATATATTTTGAACTGGTGAAGTGATGGTAGACGAACCTTTCGATCCGAGCGTTACGATAACCGTCTTGACGCCTTTGCTGAGAAACTCATCTGTGACGACGCGCCAATCAAACGAAGGGTCTTCGACGGCGGAGACGGGACGCGAAGTGAGGATGGCGGCTTCGGTTTCGTTGAGGATCAGGTGGGTAATGGATGGGTAGGCGGAGTCGGGGAGCTTGATGGCGGGAGCGGGGTTGAGGAGGATGGGGATGGAGAGGTTGGAGGCGAGGTTGAGATTTGGCGGACGGTTTCGAGGGGGGATTCAAGTTTAGGACGCGCAGTGGTGGGGAGGGGGGTGCTGAGGGAGGTGGGGGTTGTGAAGGTGGAGGGGAGGAGGGACTAGGTTGTGGGTTAGTGGATGTGTTTTGTTTTGTTTTGTTTGGTTGTTGGAGAAGAGGTTGGACAGAAGTTTGGTCTGGAAGGGGATGGATTATGAAAAGTAGGTTAACTCACGTGGTTTGCGCCTGGGGAAAGGAGGATGCGATTTTCGCCGCTATCGGATTCCACGAGGGATTACTGCTTACGCCCGGTGGATTGGGGAGGGGATGGTTTGGATCGAGGTTGTATCGATGAGAGAGTCTTTGAGGGAGGAGATAAGGGAGGGACCGAATCTTAGGGGGTGTTAGTTTGTTAATATGAAAGTGATTAGATATCGTATAAGAGGCGCTTGGAGGAATATGGAAAGTCTGATCATTTTGGGCGAAGGAGGGGGTTTTCCCCAGCCGTTGTCAAACTAGTGGAACATATGAATAGCCCATTGAAGAAAAGATAGGCTGATTATCTTTTACTCTCCGGAAGCTTGTACTTCTTCTATTTAACTGACAAAAATTGGTACTATAAAACCAATCACGCAGCAAGAAAGTCCAGAATAGAAGTCTTGCATAATTTCCTTGACTTGAAGACGTAACAAAACAGAATGAGAGAAACCCACTTGTAGGTAGGTATGTGAAATAAGGAAGTGTGATGTGATTTCGGTAAAGGAGAAATAAAAGACCTACTCATCATCACCAACGGCACCAATCATCTTGACCAGAACATCGCTAGTATGAGATGGAGCGGAAGCGGGATTGGGTCTTGAAAGACGAGCACATGCCACAGCTTGATTGGCACCTTTTCCCCCGGGACCAGTACTGAAGGACGTAGCGGTTAAAGTTTCGCCGCCAGTGGGAACGCGGGGGGTGAGCGTTACGAGATCGATATTGAGAGATCCAATGACGGTGATAATTTTTGGCGACATGGTCGGATTGGGTGGTGGAAGTTATCCGCGTATTCGTAAATGTTGGAAAGGGGGTTGGGCACGTGCTTGCCTGCTATGATATACAGATGCCTAATGCTCTGGCGAAACTGCGTCGTAAGGGTGATGACGAAGCTAATGGGCTTGCTTGTTTTTTGCTGTGTGTGTAATACAATGTGTTCACTGAGCTAGAGACCAATAGATGAGTAAATGTCTTTGCTATGATTTAATAAGTACCTAATATATGTGAGCTGTTTCTGAGTCCTCTACACCCTCCTTGGCTTGGGTATCAACCCCGCGCCCCCACTGGATTTCAGAGACTTCTCATCCATTCAAACATTTCAATATTTTGTGATTTAATAGATTCTCCTAAGACACTTGGGGTTTACTCACTGTTAAGAAAGAAGAATCCTTCTTACCAGAAATAACTGAAAACGATCAAACTTTTATCCTCCAGATACCTACTGACAATCATATGAGAATCGAAACCCAAGCCAAGCCAAGCCAAACACTTTTCTGCACCAAAGGTATCCATCTTGCTGAGGATCTGAGCACGGGCCATATTACTAGCCTCACCTCGTGGAAGTTGGCCTCGCACGCCTGTTTGTTTTAAACAACAGAATATCAACAGGAGTCGCATTCTAAAACAGGAACTTCTCCAACTCCCATTTTCCTAAAATCAGAAAATACCAACAAGTGACAAGCTTGCAGAAAGATCTTGCTATACCCTCAAACCATCTATCTCCCTTGAAAATCAACACTCATACGCAACCATGGCCGCACAAGGCGGTATCTCTGACCCCGGTCTTTATAACGTTGGGAACTCCTTGAGCTGTATTTCATTGCGCTGTATAGCTAAACAAATGCTGCAGATTGTGAATAAGCTCCAGGATGTATTCACGACCGTCGGTGTACAAAATCCCATAGATCTTCCTCAAATCGCAGTGGTGGGAAGTCAGTCGAGTGGAAAGAGTTCGGTCCTAGAAAACATAGTTGGTAGAGACTTGTGAGTCTGCCACGTACGTATCCGCAGTGTTTATACATATGCTAAATCTATGATGATGCGCAGTTTACCTCGAGGAACCGGTATTGTTACTAGACGACCCCTTATTCTACAACTTATCAACCGACCAGCTCCCGCGAAATCAAACGGGGTAAAGGACTCGGAGGAACTGGCCGCTGGAGGTGATAAAGAAGCGAATGCTGATGAATGGGGCGAGTTTCTTCATATCCCTGGGCAAAAGTTCCATGACTTCAACAAGATTAGAGAGGAGATTGTGAAGGAAACAGAGGCGAAGACAGGTCGCAATGCGGGACTCTCTCCAGCTCCTATTAACCTTCGCATATACTCTCCAAATGTTCTTACGCTTACCCTTGTCGATTTGCCTGGTTTGACCAAGGTTCCAGTTGGAGATCAACCAAGAGATATTGAAAGACAGATTAAGGAGATGGTTCTTAAGCAGATTAGCAAACCAAATGCTATCATTCTTGCTGTTACAGGTGCCAATACCGATTTGGCCAACTCCGATGGATTGAAGCTTGCGCGAGAAGTCGACCCAGAAGGTCAAAGAACTATCGGTGTTTTGACAAAGGTTGATTTGATGGACGACGGAACTGACGTTGTGGACATTTTGGCTGGAAGAATTATTCCCCTGAGATTAGGTTATGTTCCAGTTGTCAACAGAGGTCAGAGGGATATCGACAACAAGAAGCAGATTACTGCAGCATTGGAAAACGAGAAGAACTTCTTCGAAAACCACCGAGCATACAAGAATAAGAGCACTTATTGCGGAACTCCATACCTCGCCAGGAAGCTGAACCTCATCTTGATGATGCATATCAAGCAAACTCTCCCAGATATTAAGGCTCGTATTCAGACTTCGTTACAAAAGTACACTGCAGAGTTGGCAGGTCTTGGAGATTCGATGCTTGGAAATAGTGCAAACATTGTGCTCAACATCATTACGGAATTCACAAATGAATGGCGGACGGTCTTGGAGGGTAACAACCAGGAGCTCTCTAGTATCGAACTCTCAGGTGGTGCTAGAATCAGTTTCGTCTTCCACGAACTTTATTCGAATGGTGTTAAGGCTGTGGATCCATTTGATCAAGTCAAGGATATTGACATTAGAACTATCCTATACAACTCCTCTGGTTCTTCGCCTGCGCTTTTTGTCGGTACCACTGCTTTCGAGCTAATCGTTAAACAACAAATTAAGCGCCTGGAAGAACCCAGTTTGAAGTGCGCTTCTTTGGTATACGACGAGCTGGTCAGGATCCTTAACCAACTTCTTGCCAAGCAGCTATTCCGCAGGTATCCTCAACTCAAGGAGAAATTCCATGCTGTCGTCATTGCATTCTTCAAAAAAGCGATGGATCCCGCCAATAAACTCGTAAAAGATTTGGTGGCAATGGAATCGTGCTATATCAATACTGGTCATCCCGACTTCCTCAACGGCCACAGAGTAAGTTTGATGTTCATCACTTCATAATTTTTACTAATTTATTTTACAGGCTATGGCTATTGTTAGTGAAAGACATAATGCATCAAAGCCCGTCCAGGTTGATCCCAAGTCAGGAAAGCCAATTCCATCAACGCCTGCACGTACAGCAAGCCCAACACTTGATGGAATGGGCGAACAAAATGGTGGCTTCTTTGGAAGTTTCTTTGCTTCCAAGAATAAGAAGAAGATGGCTGCTATGGAAGCCCCACCTCCAATTCTTAAGGCCTCTGGAACTTTGTCGGAGAGAGAAGGCACAGAAGTTGAGATTATTAGTAAGTGGAATTGAAACACTTTCAGTTTTCATTGCTAACTCTTTCTAGAACTTCTAATCAACTCGTATTACAACATCGTAAAGCGAACCATGATTGATATGGTACCAAAAGCCATTATGCTTAACCTCGTCCAGTAAGAACCCCTGAGTAATTCGCAATTTATATTTAATTAACCTGTTGTAGATATACCAAGGATGAAATGCAACGAGAGCTTCTCGAGAACATGTACAGAACCGATACTCTTGATGATTTGCTCAAGGAAAGCGACTACACTGTTCGAAGAAGAAAGGAATGTCAACAAATGGTTGAATCACTTTCAAAGGCAAGCGAAATTGTTAGTCAAGTACAATAAAGCTACTGTCCGAATTAAATGCAGCGATCCTTCCGGGTCAAGAAAGTCCGAGGCAGGGAAGCAACCGAGGAACGTTGATTAGATACTCACCGCAAGTACTGTGTTGGCCCATTTACCTTAGACTCGTTTTTTTCTATCTCACAACCACATACGATACCTACTTTTCTTTGGCGTGGAGCATAATGATGTGTGGAATACATGGACGCGGCGATGGACATGAATGGGAAAGATCGTACCGAGAATACACCGATTCAAGAATATCTTGATTTGGAAGCATAAGGCGAATGAATGAATGGCAAGCTTGACTTTAATGTTGTTTACAGCGAAATGGTTGTAACTCTTTAGTTCTTTTTCTTCAATCTTTTCCCGCCTCGTTCATTGGTGCCTACAGCTAGTTTCAGGGACATAACTTAGTATCTAGATAGTTGCCCCATTTGCAAAGAAAGAGAGAATTAATTCCTTCCAATGATTTTTGCGCAATGAAAGTGGGACATTACACAACATGACGTGCTCGCGCTACCACCCCGGCGGAATCGTACACAATCGTAAGATTTGCTCGTATCGAGTGTTGGTGTTTCATCAACTTCCCTTCCGCAAGACATAGCTGCTAATATTTGGTTGGATGTAACGCGAAGCTCGAATAACGTTTCTTTGCCTTGCTTTGTCTGGGGTTGTTTCTCCTTCGAAATGAAGCCAATATGCGGGGAAATCGGGACCATGACCGATTCGAGAAAATGAAAGGAGGTCGCACCCGCGGTATCGGGAGAATTTCCAGATCATACACAAGATCTCTTGAGAATACAAACGGGAAGCGGAGACACGGGAATGCTTTGGAGATGCTTGTTTCTTTGGTGTGAGGTGGGAGTGTCTCGGTTGATCGGTGAGGGTGAGGGACACATGTAGGGGGAGAGAGAGAGAGTGTGTGTGTGTGTGTGTGATCTCTTTTTGAGAAGATGTGGTACTGACGGACTTCATGTCCGGGTCCTTGGAATGGGGGAGAATGGGTGGCAGGACGAGTGGAGCGCACGAGTGTACGAGTACCGTGCTGGTGGTATTGTGATGTGGAGAACGTTGGTTTGGTACTTCGTGAGGCTTTTAAGTGTTTGTACTGTACGTACGAAGGGTAGAGAAAAGAAAGTGTTTGCTTGTGCGAGAAAATGAGAGAAGTGCAATGCTTGCAGATAAATCAGGGGTGCAACGTGCCGAGGGAGATGAGCCATACTGTTGCTGGTAGGTGGAAAAGTGGCGAGGGAGGTTATGCAGACATACTGAGCATTCATGCAATGCGAAGCGATGACTCTTCCCCGATATCGCTTACTTCTCTTCCATCTATCCCATCCGCGGTGAAGGGATCCAAACGATGAGATTGGCGAAATGTGGTTTGTCGCATTTTCGAATGTTTGCTTCTGGAACGCGTGGAAATTTCTCTGGTGCCCGCTTCCCGGGTGATGGATTGTTGTTATTGTTGTTCTTTTTTCGTTTTCTTGCTGTGTGTTGTTATTGCGAGCGTTCTGTGTGTGTATCCCCACGATTTGGAAGGCTTCGTTCAACGAGTATCTATTTATTGGAAATGAGTTCTGGAGAACAGGACGAGAGCCAAGACCAAATGAATGTCACTGCCCTCTCGAGGCTTCCAAGAGCCGTCGGGAGTACGGTTGTATGGAGGGTCTAGACAGGGCTTCAGTGTGACAAAAGCACGTAGAAGCATTTTGCGGGTATCGAAGGCGCCTATGGAACATTTGAGAATTTTACGATAGATCTAGAAGATAGGAGGAACAGCACAGGGTATTTAAGTACAATAGAAGGTCGGCAAAGAAAGTGGTTTCTTGACCCAAGTGCTTTTTAGAGACTTTCAGCTTCCATCTAGGTAATTCTCCGAAAGTGGCTTGCTTGCCTAGATTTACTTTTTTTTGAGCATCATATTTCTTCTTACGGGAGATAACCGACCCTATCCATATCTAATCTCGGAATTAATGATAAATTCTTTTCCCCTAATTTCTATACATTTTCCATAATCTTTCTTTCGGATCAGATAAGGAAGATGGCTATTGCTCAAGCAAATCTTTCCTCTTCGCGTCTTCAGCAGCGTCAGCGTAAAGCTGCTCCTCCAGCTCTATCACTTGGAGCTCTGCAAGTTCGAGCACCCCACCGACGAGTATATCATTATCAAAAAGTCGAGTTTGTCTCGGCATCAAATATGTCAAGAGATGATCCGCCATCTCCTCCTCCAAACCCACCTCCAAGTCCGTCGATGCTTATTGAGCTAGATGATGATGATTTCAAGATTTGAGTTGTAAGTCTATTTCATAATGGCTCATTCTCTTTAACATTGAACTAATCTCTGTTGAAGGTGGTTCTGCGTTCGAACCCTAAGCTGGAGTTTTGTCGAGCTACAAATTTGCTGCATTCGCTTGGGGGCATATCATCGGTGGTCGGGGTATGGAAACGGAGTTGGTATAGGAATGGCAGGCGGGGACGGCTCGAGGTTCTGATTCTGGTTCTGGTCCTGGATATTGGAGTATAGACATTTGTTTGGGGCGTTTTAGAGATGATAACGGAGAGAGGGGTTATGAATAAGAGAGTGGAGGTGTTCGAAATGGGATATAATGGTGGATCATAATTTCGAATGTTTCTTCCTAATCAAACCACCATTTTCTACATCATAGTCTTCCCCTCTTTTCCATCCTAGCCATTGCTCGAGTGCTGTCTCTCCACCTTGTCCTGGATATAAGGGCTTGCCGGTGTAACTTCCCCCTTCAACGCCAGGTCCTTGGCCAATCGATGGGTCCTGACTATTATGTTTGGATATTGCGAAAGAAGGTGTATCTCTGAGTGTAACAATTGGCCTTTGATCACCTTCTCTGGCAGGATCGTGTTCGAGTTCATCGTAATCGAGAACAGGTGTACAACAAGCATCAGTTCCATCAAAAATAGTTTCCCACTCAGATCTCGTTTTGGCCTTGAATAATCTAGCGAAAGTTTCCCTCATTTCTGGCCATGTACTTCTATCCATTCTCGTTTCTTCGATATTAGTTTCTCCCAATCCTAGCCCCTTAACCAACTCTCTGAAAAATTGTGGTTCCAGAGCACCCACCGCCATGTATTTCCTATCCTTTGTTTCATAGGTATCATAGTACGGGCTTCCCGAATCCAATGTGTTCTCTCCTCTCGGTTTATTCCACATAGGAGTCTTCATCAACAATCTCGGAAAGGTAACAAGATATGCAGCTCCATCGACCATATTCGCTTCTACAACTTGCCCCTTTCCGCTCTTCTCTCGCGCTAGCAAGGCGAGTAAAATTCCCTGAAACAACGTAGCTCCACCTCCCGCAAAATCCCCAAGTATGTTCGCCGGTGGTAATGGCTTCTCATTCTTTCGCCCAAGCAGCGACAATGCCCCTGAAACTGCTATGTAGTTGATATCGTGCCCGGCCATGTCTTTGTACTTCCCATCACGGCGAAACCCAGTCATTCGGGCAAGGATGATGCGAGGATTGAGTTTGATGAGAACATCTGGTGAAAGTCCCAACTTTTCCAGAACTCCTGGGCGGAATGGATCGATTATGATATCAGCATGTGCAACGAGAGACTTGACGAAGGATACTCCAGCATTTGCTTTGAGATCGACTGCAATGGAGGATTTATGTCGGGTAAGGAGATCGGGGGTTGGTGGAGGGATTGAGGAAGAATGGGTGAGATTAGGAACTGCACGATCGATGCGTAGGACTGATGCTCCATAATCTGCTAAGAGAAGTCCCGCGAAAGGTCCTGCAATCGATGTTAATGGGAATGCAATGAAATCTGGGGTAATGCGGGGGTGTTCACCTGGAGCTAGGCCTGCGAATTCAAGAACGCGAACGCCTGTCAATGGTGGTGCTCCTGTCATTATCGCTATTGTGAGATATCAATATCCTAATTGACTTACTTATTCGGGATGGCAATGCCCATTGTCTCAATATTATTTCGATTCCAGATGATACTGTTATTGTGGTGGTTGTATGCTCGACCCCTGAACCGAGGTTCAATCGGGCTTATCAGCATCTGCCAATCATTCATTCCACAGCAGTTTTTGAATCAACAAGAATCAACAATTCAAGGAGTACGATACACGGCGAAGAATTGGAATAGCACCAAACTCTTGCATCAAATCTCACGAAATTAGAAAACAACATTGGAAAGTTTCCTGATGTTTACAATAGTTGCGGTTATAAGGGCGACAGTCTCCCCTACTCGGTGCCAAAGTAATTCTTGTGTATCCCTCAACACACTCCTGTCATAGTGACGTTTCATAGTTTTGAGAATGTTAATCTATCTCAGTAGATATATGTTTCCAGATTTCTCTTAATACAGTTATAGTAATTGACTATCAGTTATCTGATGTGTACAGCGCAACATAACCTTGCCCATGTCAGCGATCTCGGGAATTAGACGGGCCCGAAATCTTCTCGGGTCCGTCACGGTAGCATCAATGAGCCTTGAACCAGGCGGATCTTCTAGGGGGAAGATTTCAGCTATTAAATTTCTCAGACGGGACCGATTGAATGGCTCGTATAGTCCGAAGCTTCTTAAGCCATACTGTATGGGTAGATATTCATATAAGGCTTTGCACGAGATCGTATCAGGTCAAATACGAGCCTGGTTAATGAGCATATATAAGTCAACCAAAGTACTGAATCTATATTATTTTTCAAACCAGTCAAGAACAGTCAAACACAAATTGAGATCGATACATACTTCAGAACCTCAAATCATCCACCCATGCTTCCAAGAATATCCATTATTGGTGCAGGGCCATCCGGCCTGGTCCTAGCCTCTCTCTTCCACCGCAGTAAAATACCCTTCACCATCTACGACCTCAGATCTCGTCCCTCTCCAGGTCTTGTTAACGTCCCATCCGGATCCCTAGATCTTCACGTCAAATCAGGACAACGCGCACTCGCAGAATGTGGGCTTCTCCAAGCATTCAGCTCACTCACCGTAGAATGCAGCGAAGAACACATCATCTGTGATCGTTTTGGAGATATTAAATTCGAGGCACCCAATCACAATGAAGAGCGACCTGAAATCTCAAGAAATAGTTTGATCGAGTTGCTTTTGTCTTCGCTGCCCGAAAATATCATTCAATGGGAACGCAAAATCCAATCCGTTTCTCCAAATCCTTCAAATCCCCACCAACAAATCATCACGTTCCAAAATGGGAATTCTCATTCTTGTGATTTGGTAATTGGAGCAGATGGAGCATGGTCAAAAGTTCGCCCACTCTTGACGGACGTGAAACCATATTTTAGTGGTGTGCATTGGATGACGTTAACAATTCCAAATATCACCCAGAGGTTTCCAGAAATCGCCAAGATGATTGGAACTGGAACTTTCTGGGCGCTGGGGGGAAAGAGATTCGTTTCAAGTCAGAGAGGCTCGATGGATTCAGCAAGGGTGTATGTTGCGATACATAACGAGGATATCAACTACTGCAATGATGCAGGCTTAAATTCTTTAGACCTTGGGCAAATAAAAGAGAAAAATCTTGGAGAATCTGGTATCTTTGCCGATTTTGGCAAAGGGGTCAAGGAGTTGCTAGAAAGAGGGTTAGAGGAGGAGAAAACCCCACAGTTTGTGCAGATGCATATGTTACCTACCGATCACACGTGGGAGCATAAAGCCAACGCGACATTGGTTGGAGATGCAGCACATCTCATGACGCCATTTGCAGGAGAGGGTGTTAATTCGGCAATGTTAGATGCTTTAGAGTTGGCGCAAGGAATTATTGCGGCCGTAAACAAGGATACTTCGATCTCGGATGCTGTGAGAGAGTATGAGAAGAAGATGTTTGTCAGGGCGAAAGAGAATGCTGAAGACACATGGACTAATATGGAGAAAATCTTTGAGGATAATGCACCGAAGGCGATAGTGGAGTGGTTCAATAGTTTTAGTGCTCCGCCTGACCAGCGTTGAATAGGTAGATACTGTATTGATGGTACTTAGCATGGATATCAAAGAATTATATGTTTTAGCTTGAAGTCGTCAAGTTTAGACACTTATAGAGATATGCACTCAACTCATTTAGACGATTGTAATTTTATACAATGATAATAATTTAAGTACTCTAACAAGAAGGAGCCTTGTTAGTGACAAATGATATAGCATTCCTGACTAACATCAGAATGGCTGATCAAGAATTGACCATCTGATTATTTAGGGAATGATCAATAGGGAAACTATGGCATTGATCAAGAAACCGGATCCCCAAGCTTGAGATGAACTCTTAGTAATAAATTAAATAGCGCTTGATAGATGGCAATTACAAGCGTCTAATTAAAAGGAGAAGTTTGATGATGAAATGATTGTGTGAAGTAACATGGAGTCTGTGCTAGAAATTGGGGAGATGGAGACAATAGGATACAACGATGAGGGAGAAAGTGTAATTAGAAGATCAGTAGCCCACATAATAGTAGAGTTCAACAAAGCAAGGACAAAACAGAATCTAATTTGAATTATCAGTCACGTATTCACTGATTTTCTGGAACTGCAACTCTTGCACATGCTCTATAGACTCGACATAAGACTTCCATGTGTTTTCACTAATCTTTTATTACATTGTTCCTATTGAGCCATTGCTACCCTTCTCATCGTCGCTTATATTCTATCTCTGGCTACAGCCTTCATATTCCGGATTCCTGTCCTCCTATTGACAGATTACCATGCTAGCAATCAAAATTTGAAATCCACACTCTAATGTCCATAATTTGACTCATTGATCCGTTCAAGTCTTCTCAACGCTTCGATTGAAAGTGGTGCGATTGACCAAAAATATCGCCACGAACCATTCGTCGACGGAAAAAAATTGTGAGAAAAAAAGTTAGCATATGATTCAAAAGAATACGAAAAAAGCGCAAAACTTACCAAAAGTTCAAAAGTGGTGAGTGGGGTTGATCCGTTAGCCCCTCACTTGAGGGTTTCCAGCCAGAACGACGAGGACGTGGATCATTTCTGGCCACCTAGATTAGTAGTTAGTGAGGGGGAGGGGGAGATACTTGCGTTTTTGTCCAAGGGTCCAGGTGTCCAGGGTGATTCATGTGTGTGTCTTTTCATTTCTTTTCAGTCAAAAAATCCGGGATGCTGGGGTTAGTGGTTAGTGGTTAGTTGGCTTGTTAGTTCACTGCATAGGGGAGGGGGGAGTGGTTAGTGGTTGGCTCACATGTTAGTTCACTTGCATAGGGGGAGGGGAGTGGGGATGGGGGTGATATAATTTACCATTTCCAAAGGATCTTTGGAAGGATGATTGCGGCTGCAACAAGGGTCCATTTGGTGACCGTTTTAATGGTCGAGGCATTCCGGGATATCCAGGATTGCACTGGGGCAATGGTCCATGGGGTGGCTTCTGGTTCCGGTGTATCCAAGGGGTCGTCGTCTAGGGAGGAGGGATAATCCGCGGTGGTGTCCGATTCATCCTCGGATGAGGATGAGAATGAGGATGAAAGTGGGCGTGCATCGTGGAACCTGTTAAAGTTTCTCCTGGGAATGGGTTGGGGACTGGGGGAGGGAATGGGCTCCGGGGATGGGACGGGCTCCGGTAGTGGAATGGACTCCGGGGATGGGATGGGCTCCGGTGATGGGCTGGGCTCTCGGGATATGCAGAAGGGGTCTGACAAAGGAGATTGAGCGACCATTTCACAACCAGAGTCTGATGTTGCCACCGGACTTTGACTCAAAGGTCGAACTGGTGTGATGATATGGGCTCGGGATTCGAGGACTTGCTCTTCAAGGATCATTTCTGACCACAGCTGGGTAAAAGTCTTGGGTTTAGCTCGGCTGAAACAGCGAGGCTGCTGCAGATATAGCTGGGTGAAAGTTTTGGGTCTGGCTAACCTGAACAAGCGGGGCTGCAAGTGTACTACAGGTAGCTGGAGGGGAGGGGAAGAAGAAGAAGGAGAAGGAGAGGGGGGATTTGAACAATTTTCTGCTAAGACAGAAGAGGAACAGGAATGGCCATTGAAGGAGTCCAAGGAAATAGAGGCAATGGAAGGGGATCCGGAGGAAATGGAGACAGTGTGGTGGGCCGAAAAGGAATCCTTGGAAGATGGGGTGGTGCCTGGGCTAGGGGTGGCCTCACGGAATACATACCTTGTTTTGGGGGGAGGGGTAGAGATTCCAGATCCGGAGGGAAGGGCAGTGGGGTGATTCAAGAAGGGATCCAATGGATCGTCAGCGACGAAGGGTTTGGGAGAAGGGGCCTTGGCAATGGGGTAATCCAGGGAGTCCGATGTATCGTCAGTGACGAAAGGCCTGGGAGGAGGGGCCTTGACATCAAGTAGACGGCCTACATTGATGCAAGGGGAGCCGATGGGGAAGTGATCGCTGGATCCGGTGCTGAAGTTAGAGGATGTATGCTCCTCCTGGATGGAGTCAGAATACATCGTGGGGGACCTGTAGCGCTTGGAGGCCATGGGATGGGGTTTGATCTCAAGAGCCGACCAATCGATCGACTCGTAAGATCCACAGGAGTCTGAATAATAAGAAGATGAAGATGCAGAAGATGCAGAAGAAGAAGAAGAAGAAGAAGAAGAAGAAGAAGAAGAAGAAGAAGAAGAAGAAGAAGAAGAAGAAATCAAACGCAATGACAAAGGAGAATTTTTTTTGGTTTTTTTGGCCTGCGTAGAGGCTGAAGTTGTGGAAGAAGATAGGTTTCCAGGCCTGTTAGATGGTGGATGGATGTTTGAAGGATCCAAAGAGGGTTCCATTTGTTGGTCACACACGTATGGGACGTGGAGAGGATGGATGGATGGGGGATGGAGAGAGTTAGAGGTTTGTGGAACTTGATATCCACGACCGCGAGGGGCCGACGTGTTTGTAGAGTTGGAACTGGCAGCCCCAGGAGCACTGCCAGTGGAAGAAGAAGAGTGAAAGCGAGACATTGTAAATGTGTGAGCTTGGAGTGAGCAGTGAGTATGTGAAAGTGGTAGGAAGAAGAAAGAGAAAAAGAAAATCGAGGAACAGAAATTGAAACGAAAGATATATCAATTCTCTGACGCGTCTTCACAAATGCGAAAATTAGCGTATTTTTTTAAACGAGAATTTGTCACTTAGTCCCTAAAAATGTCTCTTTAGACTTCTTCTGTCATTTAACCGAGAGAGGAAAACCAGTAATATAGCAAGATGTAAACCCTATATGCCCTAACAGAAGATTTCGCCGATAACAACACGCGACGCGTAGATATGAATTCCATTGTCATGGAAAGAAGGGAAGGAGTGATGGATATATGCCACAGGAAGTTATACGATACGGCCTATCAAACTCGAGATGTAATAAATAAAGCTAATCACACGAGTCAAACCATTCAGATCACCTGGTAGTTATTCAGATAAACCGGTATAAGGGTTGGGAGATTTGTGCTAGTCTCTATATGAGATAACACCCTTATCTAGCAGTTCAGGTGCCTAATGAGGAAGGAGTCATGGTTGAAAGAATGAACATGTAATAAGACCATTGCAGTACATAAATCCATCCAACAACAATTGGGAAGATACCTTTAGATGATGTGCAAGGCAGTTGATGTCACCTTTGATTAAGAGGCAATGTATCTTCAAATTCCAGAGCTTACTTCGATCAGGGCGCTTTCTGCAATTTTACCGTGCGAGACAGCTTCTACAGTACCAAAAAAACACATAACTTGATATCGAGCTTTACGGGCAACTTTCCCCAAATATGGCAGATGCTAAAAGAAACACACCTGCATGTTCTCTAGCTGCTCGACCCATGCCCGAGAACTCCTTGTGCCATCTTCGCTACGGTCTCGACATTGAAGGTCAATATGTTTTCCTAATGTCAAAAATCGAAAACGATCATCAATTACGGGAGCGAAAAAAAAATCGGATAATAAAGGGGGATTTCGCCACCAGTTATGAGGCCTGGAGTTTTCGAGAAGATGAAATCCACGCTCATGATTACGACTTCGAAACCAGAGGAAACCTACCATTTAGCTTCATAGCAGATGTTACAGAGCTGAGAACGTGTTGTATGGTATCAAAATGAAGACATGATGCTTTATGCGAGGGAAGAGATGTCGTCTTCATGACAGCGGGTAAAAGTGGGGCAAATATTTAGAGGCTAAACTATTTACAGCACACGCAAAGATTTTCGAAGCACGAAATCCGTACATCTGCGCCGCCTCTCAGAACACATTCTGGGGGATTGGATAACGTGGCAGACCGTCTGGCTACGTCTCAATGCTCCTTGGGTAAAAGTGAGACTTCTCATGATACTACCACATACGATATTGCGAATCTGCGTTCCTTCGACCAGATACGAGGAGAGGAAAATCACAAAGAGGAGAGTAACGTAAGGCGGCGGAAAATACATGTCAAAGAAGCAATTAGCGACTTACTTCCCATCGAACCGCTTCATGGATCAACACCTCGGGATGCTGACGAACTGCAGCGGTAACAATACTTGGAGACCGTTGATACACTTCTTGTGCAAAGGTCACTTTGCCACCCAAATAAGCGGAACTCAACACACTTGCAAGACGTCTGCAGCACGAAGAGAATAGAAAAGCATTGGAACAAGAGTCATGTCTGTTTGAACGATAACATAGATAATTCACGATGGGGAACTTAGCAAAGTGGGTGGGGCGGTCTTCAAAAAATGACCCCACAGGACCATTCCCAAGATCGAGAGCTCGCTGACATCATCACTATTGCATCTTGCACTATTCATACTATATATACATAAGAGACGAAATTTGTGAGAAGGCCACAGAACGGCAGCGATAAGAGAAACAATTTGGAGATGCCCGTTTGGTGGCTCGAACTTTCAATCTTGAGAATGCTTGAGGAATTTTGAGTTGTAGTTTAGTGGGTAGTTTCATATCAATATAAATCTTAGCCGTTAGTTGCATTAGAAAATACGCTCAAAGTAGGGAGTGAAATGAAGGAAATGGTATATTAATCAACTACCCATCAACCCTTTCGAGGAAAGCTGCAAAACAACCCACGCGAGCAATCATCCAATCAACCATCGCAAAATGCCACTCAGAGTCCATCCATGTAACTCCTCGAAACAGGCATGCAAGTATTTCACTTCAACGTTTTTCTTAACACTCGCTGGCCGCTTCTGACCCTTGAACATCATCTTGTTCGATCGATTCGCTTCGCTGTTCCATCTTCTTCCAGCCGCCAACTCCTTTCGTTCCTCTCTCGCTGCATGCTCCCTCTATAAACAGTCTCTGGATTCTTTCCCGTGTTGGCTGAATTTCCTGGCACGCTTCTCTCATCCATCATCCATCTCCACTAGCTAACGTCTGCCGAGTGGGCTCTATTCTCGCTTGTCCTTGTTTTTCTTTGACTCTTGCACTTCGGCGGGTTGGCTGGTGTCCTTTTTATTTTTGCTTTTGCCTTTGCTTCCGTTTTTGCTTTGTGGGTACGGGTGCTGGTGTTGGTGCTTGACTTTGCGGAGTAGGTTCTGCTTCTGCTCTCTCGTCGGTATTGGCATGATGATCACTTGGAGCACTTCCAGACACTGTCAGCCTATTCGTCTTGGATGAAACCCTTAATAATAATTACTCACCTAGCTAGTTTGTCACAAGCGGCATTAGGGGAGAGAGGCTCGACCTGACATTGTTTTTCGAGAATTGAAGCATCTGTTGTGACAGGGCTATCTTATTGGAGCAAGAGTATTGGAAACCATTCGAATTGAGGAAATACTGGAACGCTCAGTGAGAGAAATAGCGACAAGTCGAAAGGACAAAATAATTTTATAGCTTCCTGAATATTCAGCTGGATTTTTTCAGACAACAAAGCTCTGAACTCCATGGTCGAATTCCTAGTGAATAGAAACATAATAAGCGAGAGAGTATTGTATTGCGAGAAGTATGCAGAATGATGATCCAAGATGGAATAATACGGAAGACACGGGGACTTTCGCTTGGGAAAATCAGCAATGTTATTGAGTAACTACAAAGCTCATTTATTATATAGTTAAGACATTATATGAAAAGCGACTAGCTATATACATAGGAGGGTTCTAAGAAATCAAGAACTAAAAAGAGAGATAAAGATTAAATCAGTGTAGGTCATGGATAAAGCCTCACAACCCATCTGACGCTGGTGGTCCCTTGTATACTATGCTCCGTCAGTAAATTTCAGAATCGAATCTCAAAGCAAAACTCACCTTTTCTAGCATAAGCAGCATACCAAACTGCCGCTATTGCCATGAATCCTACTAATACTACGCTTGCATAATTCATCGACACCTTTGTAACAGGCAATGCCGTGGGCATACTGAACAAGATCACCTCAAAGGTAATCCATACCAAGGCCACCACATTTACGGTTGCTCCGATCATATGCCCGCAATTCCACCGTGCGTGAGAGACTTCTCGTCTTTTATTCCATAGTAATGATAAGCCAATTGGGATAGCATACGAAAGTGAAAGTGCTATAACGCCTACTGAAACAAACGCAGTAAAGGCACTGCTGCTGCCGAGGTTGATAAGACCCAAGAGCATTTGAACAATAGTGACGAATACGAGAGCATTTACCGGTACGCCTAAAGACTTGTTGACAATTGAGAAAGTTTTAGAGCCGGGGATTGCCTGGTCACGAGCGAATGCCCAGGTGCAGCGCGATGCGGCAGTTGTGATGCTAATTGAGCAGAACATAGTGATACCAAGTACCAAAAATGTAAGACCTAGACCACCTCCGGGAGAGCCCATGACCCTATGAAAGATGTACGGGATTGCTTGACCATTGGGTGCACCAATTACGTCAGCGAGCGGTGGCATCGTCACACAGATCGGGATGATAAAGAACAGACCAGCTATTCCACCAACAGGCACGCATAGTGCTATTGCTTTTGGGACTTTGATTGTGGGGTTGGAAACCTCTTCTGCCATTGAGGAGATCATGCCAATTGCAGAGAAGGTATACGCGGCTGGTAGAAGACCGATGAAGAAAGTGAAGCCTCCCCATCCAGCGAAAGAGGTATCGTAATTTCCAAGAGAATAACTAGCACTATGTCGACCTTCCTTGGCTGAGACTGAAAGAGCGATGAGAATGATGAGGATACTAATGGCTGTCCAAGCAGCGCATATTGTATCAACCATAGGTAGGAATCGGTTGCCAAATGTGCATATTACTAATGTGATGAGACAAATGGCATAGAAGATGAGGGTAAGCTGCCAGCTAGATGCAACAAAATCTGGATGATACATGGCAACAGTTGCAGATATCAGCGACGCAAATCCGAAGTTGACGGATAACGTTATTGTCCAGTTTCCAATAAGCCATACCCAACCTGTGATGAATGAGAGTATAGTCTTGTGTCTCTTTGCTACCTACAATCATCAAGAATTAGCCATGGTCAAGAAATATATTTCCATTTCGATCAGTAAATTTTTGGTAGATATCACTTCATCAACGTCCACAAAACCAGATCGGAGGATCAAGAATAATCAAACACTTCCTCACCTGGAAAGACCAATAATAAGGTCCAGCGGAGGTTGGATACCTCGAGGCAAGTTCACTCAATGATAAAGCCACACATTCATCTAGAATAAGAACGACGATCCAGCCAACAAATATGGAAAGCTGACCTCCTCCATATATAGCACTAATCAGCGGCCCGCCTTCTCCATAAGGTATTGCTGCGATTGCAAGCGATTGAAAAAGAAGAGTAAACAATGATCGATTCCGTTGAAGCTCTTCAGTGTATCCAAGAGCTTCGAGATTATCCAACTCATTTGAGTCCGGTGGAGAGGTTGTCGACGAGGTTTTCTTCTCCTCGTCAATCATTGTCGTATTCATTGTCGCGGGAGGTACTTAGAACCCTCAGTACCTGATATTTCTAGGTCAAGAGATTCACTATTTAGTATAAAATACGAAAGAGTGACCGGATCTTGTTAAGATGGGTTCATGCGCGATATATAAATTCTCCGTCGAGGGCTCCGTAATTGATTGGGAGACATCTGCGGGGGTTATGAGACATAGGGACGACTATACCAAGCACCCGGTATGACCAGCCTTTAGGATAAGTTAGAACCAATGCAGAAGCAATTTCCTGCATTTATTGTACCTTTCTGAGGTAGGCGATAGTGATTCTATGGTGGAATTTCATTGGGCCTGTACGGTTATCATGATGTGATAAGGTTTATCTCCCAGGATGGATTCGATTACACACGAATTCAAGATAGGTAATCTCTTGGTAGATATTCATGCCGCGTGGAATGCGTAGGAATGCCATTAATGTAGTATGATCAAATTGTACTCTGTATATACCTCGTAGTAGCCAGGTCGAATTATGAGAAAGAAGCGGTGGCGACAGTCCTGAACTACCTTGAGTCAAACTTTCTGTCAAGACAAATCCTCTCCTGTCTCCTCAGCCCTTTTCGTCGAGTCATTTTATGCCGGTTAAACCTTCTCGTGAAGATAATCAATTGGATGTACAAGTACCGCACCCTAATCCACAGATCCTGGCAGGTTAATGGTGGAAAACCGAACTGTTTCTGGCAACGCGGGGAACTTTATATCTTCAGCTGCAAATTGGGTCCGAGCGTAGGGTAGATCAAGGACATGATAGCAAGCTGTTGAGACAAGAGCTGAAGAAATCCTGTGCTCACCAAAGCAATTAACCAACTTGAATAGAATTATTTATTGGCGGCTGATAACTGATTCTGTGTTTGAGCTATATTCTGTTTGAAACGGACTGCGGTTATCTATTGTACACAAACAAGCATGCTCTCAAATTTTGATGATTTGGTGTGCACAGAAACCCGTGCAGCTCGAGATAAGAAAGACAGATAATTGGAGAGAGAGGGATGACATGTATTACAGAGATGGTCTGGCCTAGGCCAACAAAAGATGACATCAATATCGTAGGAAAACTAAAAAGCATGCACACGAGTAATACACGTTGGAATTTATCACGTGGATAACACGTGTCGTCGTGGCAATCGACAACATCATCAGGCTAAATCAGCGCTCAACTGAATCAGAAGGATCCTCAATATATCCGATCTTATTTGTGGACGGTTAAATCCGAGAACAGAAAAAGCCGAACACTGAACACAAAAAGGAGTTCTCGAATTTTGCCCATTACGCCATCGCTCGCATAATCTCTCGCTTGGCGTCAGCTTCAACCTACATGGTGCGGTTAGTCGAGCATTCACTTTATGCTCAGAAGTATTATTGGCAGGATTTGGACTTGTGCAAACAGACCGATTGTGTTTTACTCCAAGATATTACGTGAAAGATTAAGCGTGCATGTACCGATGTTACACAGCGAGACAGTCGATTGACGAGAGTCTATCAATCATGCTCCAGTAGTTTAAGTGGCCGACAACTGCCCTTCGATTGCAAGCATTGAAGGCAAAAATAACTAAACATGGTGGTAAGTCTCTTAGATGTTGAAATGAGGAGAGCTGCGAGTTAATATTGAGGCTGGTGTCA